GTTAGATTTTAACCCGTGTTACTTTTTCCTTTTAATCAAAAGCATTTTGTCAGATAATTTTGTCTTTTTTTTAAGTATCAAATCACCAAATTGTAGACAAAAGGAATTCAAATGAATTTGTTTCATATCTGAATTCATATTTCGTACTAACCTTGGGTTATCTGAACCCAGCTTTGAACAACCCAGCCTGGAAAGATAAATGCTGCATGCTAATTTGGGAGCTTTCGGTAAGCTCCTGTAGAATATGAAGACCCTCTCTTCATCAGATTTTTTTGGGGAAGCCACCCAACCCCCCCCCCAGGATTCAGGGGAATTTTAGCCAGCAAAAATGCTATGACTTTTTTGGATTGAATAGGTAGTACTTAATGAACAGTAAAACTCAAAATCAACATCAAAATCAGTGAAACTCAAACTCAGGGTTGCAAACAACAGAGTAAGAAAAATTAGCCTTTCATAAATTTGTCGGCTGAGTTAATGTTCGAATAAAATTGTGAGCAGTTTTGCCATATTTTGTTGTAGTATTGGCTGTTGGGTTTTCAAAATGTGGTCATTTTTAGGAAGCCCGCCATCGAGATGTGGTCATCTCTAGGTGGGTAGTCAAAACTACAACAAATAAGTACCGTATGATATATGCCCCTAATATTCTAGAATCAGTATAAATTTTGTCGGAAATATAGAAAGAACCCTGCAGTATATGTATGACAACCCTTGAAAAACACAATATTTTACACCAATGTACAATGAAGTAATTTGGTTCCCTAATTCAGCTAATGGAAGTGAGCATCATTAGAGATTAATGAAGATGAATTCCCAGCCTTCCAACCACTACATAGTTCTCATTTATAGGTGTTATCTTTAGTTTAAGGACCCCTGTGGTAATTGCTGCGCATAAGGGAATACCACTTGTTAAGATGTACACTGTCCCATAAGTTAATAGAGGAATTTTTATGACGATAGACAGGGCCATAGCCAGAAAAAAATAAGGACTGAGGCAATATCCATGGTTGAATTCCCCGCCTAGCTATTCAGGGTCTTTATGATGACCGCGTTTAAACAAAACACTGCCGGGATCAACCCTTAAATGACTGAGGCAAGTGCCTCGGTTTGCCTCATACTGGCTACGGCCCTGAGTCTGTAGGAAATACAGTGCATCAATGATCTGACTACTGGACCTTAATAACCAGTAGATTTGAATTAGTGTATTTGCTTTACATTAGAAGCCCGGAAAGGTTTATGCCAGGGGCACTGTCAGAAAGGGACACCTTTTTCACGCTTCAGGTATGAAAGGATAGGGATTTCCTGAGTTAAAGTATATGAGAGTGTAGACTATCTGTCATTTCGTTCTGTAAAAAGACTAACAAAAGAAATTTGTGACTAAAATTGTCAAAAAAATTAACTGGTTTCTGATTCCTTTATATTAAAATGACAGTGCATATAAAACAGTTAACAGGAAAGATGCATGTTAGGGGTTGGACATCTGGGCGGAGTCTCACAGCGTGTACAAAATTATATTGTAACAATGTAATGTTACAGTTGAGATTGGAAATTTACTTTAGTCACAAAACGAATCAAACATACAGGAAATGTCACATGCACACCATCTTTGACTGTCAGCAAATGTTTTGCAGTTCACTATATTTACTCCCCTTGCAAATATGGATAATTATGATGCAAATGTGCAAATTTATGATACAGCCAAATGTCTAGAAATTTATTGTTTTTGCTCTTAAGGCAAATACGAGTAAACCACATGCAAAAGTGTTATTTTGGTATCCTGGAAAAACAAGAGCAGACACCACTGCAAATTAGGGGTTTTGCAATATTTTTGCCTGCATTTGAAGTACAGTGAAAACTGTCATTTTTGCCAAGGATGTAAATTTGAGTAAATTGGTAGAAATGTTGAAGATTTGCCCACGCTGCAAATATGTATCAAATTTGTATCAAACCATTACATTTACTTGACTTTTACGTATCAATACCTATCTAGCAAATATATGTATTTGCCCACACTTTAGCCGACAGCGCAAATGTAATGCAAATTTGGAGCTCCAAATTTACCACATATTTGCACCTTTCGCAAACATTAGTAAATCCGTTTTTTCGTCCAGTGCATAGCGTGACTGAAGGCGCTCTACAGCAACATCGTAGTTGCCTTCTTCTGTTTTAAAGTTAGCAACATATCCGGCTGCTTCACCGGTCAGCAATGATTTTGGGTAAACAAACTTCTGCACGGGAGGTATATCAATGTTTTCATGCACAGCTACCCTGAAAATGTTCCAGAATTCAGGCCAATCCAAAACGTCGCCCGAGAATTTTCTCAGATCGGTCTTTGGTAATTTCATTTTGGGCATACATGACGTACTCTTCGGAGTTGAAGTGGCGGGATCAACTTTCTCTGCCTTCTCACTCGAATTTTGCTTTTGCCGATTTTTTAACCACGATTTCAGTTTATGAATACGTTCTCTGACCATATCGAACCAGGAACCTTGAGCGTCCACTTCAGCCTGTACTTCATCGTCGTCGTTCAAGAGCCCTTCGATCTCCATCTGCAAATCTTCGGCTTTCTGCAATCTTGCAACAATTGAATCGAGCTTTTCTTCCACTCTCTCAACTTCAGGTGAGTGGGATTCAATAACATTTCTAACAGCGTCGAAATCTCTTGTCATCCAGCCTCTTAATCCAGTACGAGCTCTCCTCAGCTGGTCTATTTGTTTCGTCTTCATTTTTAATCGGCAACAGCGGCAAATCGAGGAAAACAACACTCGTAACGAACGGTCAAATCACGTCGCGGGTCACCATGTTCGATTCCGTAAACGCTAAGATACCAACACGAGACATCAAATAACTATCTAGCTCGGTTTAATCACATCAACAGGAACAAGGTCTAACAACTTTCTACAAACATTCTTGTCTCGCACGTGTTTTACAATCCCATGATCCTGTACGTTTGCAGTTCTAGACCATTACATCATTAGCAACTATTTCAGCATGGATTGTCACGCTATTTAAAAACAACTGTCACGGAGGTTTCTACATGTTTTCCTAAAGTTTGCAAATCTTAAACGTTCTTGGATCCTAAATCTTTCTACTTTTGACATTCCGTGTTTGCATAGCTTGAGGAGGGTTTGCATAACTGTCGAGAATTCCCCCGACCTCTCGAGTGTTTATATTAGGCTATGCTAGATACTTTCCAAAGTACGAAGTTTTCTCGCTTAAAATGGGCCGTGTCTAAAGTACAGGTCACAATCCTCAGGTCAAGAGTACAGATCACTGCTCCATCGATAAATTACCAAAGCACACAGATTCCCCTTGATCTAATAGAGCATTTTTTTGAGAGGTTAGGGCTAGGACACACTTTTAATGCTATCATTTTTCTGTATCATGGTGACCTGTACTCTCATCTGTGAATTAAAGTGACCTGTATTTTAGGCTCACCGCTTAAAATGTCAGTTAAAGCGAAAAAAAAAATTGACACAGCATGTTTGTAAAGATTTCCCAAGTTTCAGCCGACGAGGAAATTGGTAAATAAAGTAAGCTTGTCGAGTTTTCAACTCGAAAACGTTTAGAAATTCGTGCGTGAGTGATTAGGGCGCGAAAACCAATACATCTTGACGTCAAAACCATGTTTACAGACTCTCATGTAAACACCCCTCTCGGCCAATCTGAGCGCGCGTACTATCTTAGTTATTGGGGGCGACAAAAGGAGCCCGCCAGCTATTCTTGGTCAGCGGCATTCTTTAAATGTATTGCGACATTTTTTCTCGATCTGTTCACATTCCTGTGTTGTAATTGTATGCATGGTATGAAGGGTATACGGCCTCGAAGGCCCTGATGTTGAGTTCAATTTCCGTCCATTGTCACAGTAATCACATGAATGCACATGCAAGTGACGCAACAATCATTATTACATGTAGTGTTAACTACAGGGTGCCCCAAAAGTTCGTTCCTCTACTTTATAAGACTGTAATGTAGTACGATTGGAACTGGTAAGCAAATCGCTGAAACAAAAGTTGTCTTTCAGTACAATTTAATATTTTACACTTGTTGTGCCATCTTGTGACTCTAATGTTCGATTTGTGTACTTCTGCGCCAAAGGTGCGCGTACGCGAGTACATTTTCCCGCCACATATATTTGTATTTTGTAGCCTGATTTGCTCAAACTCCTTCCTTGTTTTTTGTAAATATCATGAAAGAAGAAAACCTCAAAACACAAAAACGTTCAGCTAAGTGAGAGCATAAGCATGTTTACCTCGATTTACCGGCTTATCAGTAGAAATGACTGATTCAAAAAAGGAAAAATCCGAATTTTCGGTGGTGAAATGCACAGGAAAAATTTCAGATTCCCAAATTGGGAAATTCCTGTAAATTTTCCCAATTTAGGGATAATATTGGGGGAAAATTGGGAACGAAATTACCAAAATTGGGAAAATTTTGGGAAGTTGAATCACTTTTAAGATCACAAAAAAGGGATTTTTTTGGGACAATATAATAATTATATTTTCAAAACTCCATTTTGGGAATATTATGGGAATTTATTCAATTCTGGGGAAAAATTGGGACATGAATTTCCTTCTTTGGGAAAATATTGGACAAAAAAATTGGGAAAATTTTGTCTTGGAGAAAATAGAAAGTACTATTTTGGGAAAATATTGGGAAATCTTAAGAGTTCATTCCACTCGTCCCAATTTTTTTTTGGATTTGGGAAATATTTTTCCAAAAATGGGAAAACATTGGGAACAGAGTTGTTAAATGTTTTTGGATTTTCCAAATTCTAGGAAGGAATGGGACATAGCTTTCCTACGGTGGGAAAAGTTTGGGTGAAAAATTGGATCAGGTAAAAGTTACTGTAGAGTTAAATTTTCTATTCCAGTCGCCATCGCCGCGTGTCTTTAAGAAAGAAAGAAAGCCGAGTGGCCTTGGGGACGAGAATGCTTGCCCCAGTTCTCTTTCCCCGCATGCGCACAAGAACGGCTCGCTCGATTCAAACTCCCGTTCAGAAGATGGCTTTGTTTCTTGCTTCGTCCTCACAAAATTCAGACTTAGAGCCAAAGAAAACGGATAAAGATGAACGAAAAGAACAATTTGAGGATATAGAGAATCCAAGTGCAGAGGAAATCTTAAAACGAATCAAAGAATGTTGTGGAGAAGCAGTGGGGAAAGCGTTTGAAGGTACGAACGTTGCTTTTATATTTTCGGCGGGAAACGGCTCAGAATGCTACAAACCTTCCATGTTTCTCTCTTTTTTAGTTTTCTTTTACTTTTTGGCGTGCTTTTATTGAACAACAACAATCTGTGGTACTTTGCATTGGCGAAGACTTGAACAATATTAAATCAATATTTCCTAGCAAATGTAAAGTTTACTTGTTTATTCCATGGCCGTCCATTTTGCCTACATACTGAACTTTTGCTAGAAAAAAAGTTTCATGAAGTCGAGAGGTTGAGGTTTAAAGCTTACTTCTCTTTTTCTTTGAATTAAATGTAAAATCTATTTTATTTTATATACCCGTTCCAAGCACTGAATTGATTGAGAATAAAAAAACTGTCTCGCACGATACATGTTTTGAATATGTAAAACTGGCAGAAGTGCAGGTCATAGCTTTCTAGGTTTTCATCTCAGCTAATATATAAGCTTATGATATATAATACACTAAAAATATGTGTGTATGTTACTGGTACATAACATCCTAAACTGGTCAAAGCCCTGTTTTCTTCCCTTTGGATTATTATTATTTTTTTAACATTGAAGGTTAAAGGTTTTTGATTTGCATTACTGATTTTAAAATTGCAGGACAGTGGCGATATTGGTAGCTTTGAATCAACACTTTCACCAGATAACTCTGAAAACGAAAAAGGAGACCCGCCACCTTCCCAGGCTAGTACTGCAGAGGGGGGTAGCAGTATTCAGTTGTCACCAAAACTTTGCAAGATGATTGTGATATTTATATGTGGAAGTGTTTTGGGTGGAGAGGAGATCTCAAAGCTGCTGAAGAAGAGATTCTCTGTCACACCTAGAAATCTCACGCCCCTCACACTATCTCAACTGTTGGAAGTGGTGTCCAAGAAGCCAGCAAGGCACAAGTATGTGGAAATCCCTGATGAACCTGTTGATCCTAGGCAGCTGAAGATGGCTATGATAGAAGTGAACAAGGAGACTGAAACAAGTTACCTTTCATCACTTTAATAGTGATGTGATGATGTTGATTTTATGACAATTAATGCCTAAAAGGACTGTGTTTTTTTCTGAAAACTTTGAAAGAGTTTATTGTTATAACCTTTCCTCAAGGGTACTGACAGTTTTGACGATGGAAACACCTTACATTTGAAAAAGGTTGTGTTGGGATTCATTAATGTTCTATATTATTTATTATAGCAAGAAGTATTGATGCTTTCCATATTATACTGTAAATTGAACAACCAGTCAGTCTAAATGCACTTGAGACATTGATGGACACATTCAAATGAGACATTTTGAAATTCTAAGACATGTATACTTACTTATATAAATAAATTCAAATAGTTTATTTGTACAAAATATGCACTATGTTTTTATTTAAACCAAAAATATAGTTAAGTGTATTAAAACTGTTTGAAAAGAAAATGCATTATCTTAGTTGATTTGGACAAAAGCTGTTTGTCTTTTCTAGACTTGTTGGGATTTGGATGGGAAATTTCAATCCCAATATTGGGAAAAACCAGGCTCAAAAATAACCCATTATTGGGTAAAACTTGGGACCTAGAAATCCCATTATTGGGGATAAAATGGGACGTTTTAATCCCAATACTGGGAAAAAACTGGCACAAAAATAACCCACTGCTGGGTAAAACTTGGGACCTAGAAATCCCATTTTTGGGAATAGAATGGGAAGTTTTAATCCCAATACTGGGAAAAAACTGGCCCAAAAATAACCCATTCTTGGGTAAAACTTGGGACTGAAAAATCCCATTATTGGGAATAAAATGGGATTTTAAAAACCCATGCTTGGTTTTGGTAGCACTTTCCCAATTTTGGGTTTTCCCAAAGAAATCCCTTTGAAATCCCAATTATTTCCCTTTTTAAACCCAAAATGAGGATTCTGAAATTTTTCCTGTGATGGTCATCGAGAAATACAAAAAAGGGTCTTGAAGACAAAAAAAGGAAGGGGAAGACTGATAGTCCTGAATAAAGCGGCTAAAATAGTTTTGAACAAGGTTAGATACAAAAGAGACAACTCGACGAGATAGCTCTCACAGTAGTTAGCAAGCCATATCTAGAGGAGTTTCATAAAAAGCGAAGGTTAGAGGCTCCTGAGATGGCAAACAAAACCTCTGCTTTGTCTGCAAAACAACGATCAGCTCGTCTCAAATTTTTAAAGGGGTACGAAAGCGTTACTGTGAATAGGGGCCGGGATGATTATCTTTTTTTGGATGAATACTTAAAGTATATTTTTCCAGCTACCTAAACGCCTAAACTAAAAATGACGTTGTTCGGGGGGGTCGAAGTGGCTCCTGCGTCAGGTGATAAAAAAGCTCAAAATAGAGTCATCTGTGGCTCTACATGCTGTATCCCACTCCATGGCGCAACGGCTACAGATTGTGATAAAATAACGAAGGGGGAGAGCCGGTTATTGAAATTCTGAAAACATGTACCCGGTAGAGCAATAAACACCTTTTAGAAATTTGACGCAAGAATAAAATTTTGATCAAAAGTTATAGCGCATGAAATTAGAGGAACGAACTTTTGGGACACCCTGTATAACCAGGAAGAAATTAAGAAGAGGAAAGGAAAAGGAAGATAAATCTATATAAACGACACAACAAGATTGACGGAAGTTATTACAATACAATGTGACAAAAAACTGAAAACTCATTTTACATTTCATGTCAACTTGCTTAGTTTATTGCGTTCGAGGTACGATAACGCAACCCCTAATTTCTGTTGGGTGTTGTGTGCATTATTGGGTTACCTATGCAGTTAATAAGCGAGGTTTTTTTTACTTCGGGCGAGCGCGAAGTAAAGGATTCGCGACGCTCAGGAATGTTCCAAAGTTGCTTTTTGGGACAAGATTGAGCACGCAAAGTTCGTGGGTGTTATAGGTCTGAATCGGCTATTTCACGAAGCGAGAACCGAATTACTTCGGGATATCTCGAGATCACTCCCAGTTCTCTGATTTATTATTTAATTTATGTTAAGATTCAACTTGAACGTCTGTGACAGCCACAAGTTTCTTAAACGCAACAAAAGAGCGCACACTGGTATGTTGAAACTGCTTATATATCCCGAAGACAAAAAACCTGTTTATCCAGTTCTCATCTTGTCATAGAAAGTTCTAGAAAACAGTATACGTCATATTCTAATTGGGTCCCAAATAGTCATGGCAAAGTACTCAGCGTAAACGTGTCTGTTCTGTTCCGAGTGTTTCTTCCTCAAAAATTTATTCGTGGAAGAAATAATTTATTAGCTTGGATTGCCCAGGGTTTGAACCGGCTTACGTGTGACCTGTCATATCAGATGAGACTCTAAATTGAGGGATTAGCGGATTATGCCACTGCAACGCAAGGTAATTTGACATGTGAAAAATAGCCATAAGTTACGCACAAGGTACGGGAAAAGATTCGGCACTGGGCTTGTTCTGGTTATTTGACGTAGTGACACCGGAATGAGTTGGAGATAGCGCGAGGTCACTTCTAGTTCTTTCGGGTTCAATAAATATTTGAGGCAGAGCTCAAACTATTAATTAAGGATTTGCGATACTGAAGAATGTCGTAAACTTGCAGTTTGCTTCCGAAGTGAGGCCGGAAGTTGTTCGAGATATCTCGAAATCAGTTTTAAGTAAGTCAAGATTACACAAGTTACATGCCTTCATGGAAAACATTTTTGGGACAGAAATGTGTATAAAGTTTGAGAGTGAAGAGAGTTCGATTACTGGAGATTATTCCAGCAAGAGTGATTCGAAAGAGGAAGGGAGAGGAAAAGGTACGGTCGTTTGCGTTGCGTGTAGACGACGTGATTCGGAAAGCGATAGATTGTCAACAAGGAGAAGCAAAACGCAGTTACTGTGGTTTCGTAACCAATCTGATAAGCATCATTATCACTGTTCTTCTTTTAGTTTTGTTTGGATGAGTAGGTGTTTTTATACTTGTTTTTGTATTGTGTGTTATTGCTTTTCATAAAGCTTATGTTGTGGTGTGTTGTGGAGGTCGTGCACTTTCAGCAAGTTTTTTTACGGAGTGTACTGATGTTAGTTTCGTTGCTGGAGAAGATGTGGAGTTTACTGTGCATAAGGAAAGTGTGTCAAAAGTTTCTTCGGCCGTTGTGCCACAAAGTAAATCTACCATAATGTGAAGCTCGGCGGCACCATTTCATAAGGGACTTGTGATATTTTCGGCACCGGACAAACGAACATTTTAGGTTTATGTTATTTATGCGGAAAAACTTCTAAACAGCCCACAGTAGCTCCACTCAAGTCACTGAAATCAACACACTCGACCAAATTACTACACTTGTTGAGACGAACCATACGATATCACTAGCCTTCAAGACTTTTTTATAATGATATATACACAGTTTAAATTGAGGTTTCGCTGTAAGCAATCCTTACTTTTAAAATATACCATGGTCAAATTAATTATCGAAATAACAATCCACCCTTCCCCCTCAACTGTTACCCGCCTGTACGCCTAACAAACATATCGAACGCACTCTCCTAAGCTCCGATTACTCCTAGTTTTAATGTATAATGATAAAAATGGTTTGGCCCCTGCCTACAAAAGTTGACTTTTAAATTTTACAAAGAAAGGGTACTCGATAAGAAATGCAGGTTTTGATATACCTCGCTACTCAACAGTAAGATATAGAAAACACTCTGTTAGGTACCTGGGCCCATACCTTTGGTCCAGAAAAGAAAGGGTACTCGATAAGAAATGCAGGTTTTGATATACCTCGCTACTCAACAGTAAGATATAGAAAACACTCTGTTAGGTACCTGGGCCCATACCTTTGGTCCAGACTATTCTCAAGTGATCGACAGCGACCCTCGCTGGACAATTTTTGATGGAACATCAGAAAGAAAGACCTGATTTCTTTTATTGTGGGCACGTGCACCAACGTAACTGTAACTTTTCTTGGAATTAAGCGATATTAAATTTGTGAATAGTGCAGATTTTTAGGTTTTTATTATAAACCTTCCCTGTCTTCAAAATGAATGTAAATTTCTTATTTTTCATTTGCAATATTATCTTAGTGTCCACAATTAGCTAATATGTAGCTAAATACTCTGACACTTAAATAAAGCTCATTCATTTGTTATCCTCCGATTCTAAAATATGTAAAAGAACTGAATTAAAGAACCTTTAAATTTGTGTTTAGGAAGTACTCGGATACTTTGAGGAATACCGTTCCAATTTCCAGCACGAAATCTAGAAAATGAATATTTGGAATGATTTGTCCTGGAATATTTAATGCAAAGTCTACCGGCTAAAGACAGACAAAAGTGAAATCGGCCTGTAGTTATTCGGATCAGATTCGTCTTCATTTTTAAACACTTGTATTATATTTGCATGTTTCAGGTAATATATCAAACATGAGATGCAGTGTTTCATCACCAGATGAAACACCGAGAAGAGAGTTGAAAATACGACGCGCAGCGGAGTATTTTTGACGAACTTCGAGGTGTTTCATCTGGTGATGAAACACTGTGTCGAATGTTTGATATTTCTTCTCAAACAAAATCATTTTTGAAGGAGAAATTAAGGATGCAAATACTAAGCAGTGTTTCATCCGATTTCCAAACACTCATTAAACATTAATTTCCTTTGTATTTTCTTAATGAATTATTAATGAGTTTGAGAAAGTTGAGGGATAAATGCCTCTTTGAACTGATTTATTAAGTAAAATAGCCAAGGGGGTGGAAAGAGCCTGACGTTCAACCTTTAGGATTCGGACAGGGCAAGAGTATAGTCCGCCAAGAGCTTTAATTGGAGTAAGTGAATTTATCTCAGCTTTAACTTTACAAGACAAGACGCCATGCGAAGATTCATGAGATTTTAGCTCAGATAAGATCCTTTTAAATTCACTCTTCAGTTCCTCTATTTCCTTTTCATTCAAAGCTTCGTTTTCTTCTTGAAGGGATTTGGCACCGGAATTTGAATTTGACTTTCGAGTCATTATAAAAATTTTACTCAAAATTTCACTCCTTGTGCGGA